CGAGGCCGTCATGGAGGCGAACGGCTGGAATAAAAGCCAAGCCATGACTGCACTCACCCTAGGCCTGCGCGACCAAGCCTTAACTGTGTTGGAAGCTCTCGGTAAGAAAGTGACCTATGAGCAGCTTCTTGAGGCCTTGGAAGCGAGATATGGCGACGCTCATCTGGAACACGTCTTTCGCGCGCAGCTTAAAGATCGCGTGCAGCGCAGCAACGAAAACCTGCAGCAGTGGGCCCTTGAGGTGGAGAAGATGGTTCGAAAAGCATACCAGTCTGTACCTGCGCTCATTGAAGGGGAACCTGGTTCAGACATTCATCGACGGCATCCGCGACCTTGAAGTCAGAGCTGCTGTGAGACTCGGGCACCACGACACGCTTAAGAACGCCTTGGCCCATGCACTGGAGGTGGAAGCCGTGCGGCAGGATCATCGTTCCCATCGCATCAGGGAGGTTGCAGCAGCTACAGTTCGCGACCGCAACAGAGGATACAGCCCTAGGTGCTATGGCTGTGGGGAAAAGGGCCATCTTCGATCTAGCTGCCCTAAGCGAACCCTAGAAAGGGAAGGTGAACGATCTCAGGAGGGTAGTGCGGCCAACAGCACCGCCCTGCAGCAGCAGGGAAACGAGTAAAAGCCAGAACTGCGGGGCGGGTGCTGGCTGATGTTAAAAGAGCCCCAAGGATCTCGATCTCACAAACCCATGATGGGAACAGTCTAATCATCAAGGGCGAGGTCAACGGAATGCCGTGTAAACTGACCATAGACACTGGAGCCTCTCGTACGGTTGTTAGTTCCCAACTTATAAGTCAGTTCCTTGGGGACTCCGCATACAACCGAGAACGCATTAATTTGGTAACAGCCACCGGTCAGCGTATACCCGTCCGTGGAGAGAAGGAGATGGAGTTGAAGCTAGGCAACGTGATCTACCTGCATAATGTCATCGTGGCTGATATAATGGACGACTGCATCCTAGGCCTAGACTTTATGAGGAATAATTGTTGTGAGATCGACGTTAAGCAAGGTGTTTTGAAATGTGGACAGGAGGAACTTTTTATGGAAGGTGCGTTACCAGGGAACGTGTACAGTATTAAGAAGATTGTTCTTCCGCCGAGATCGGAAACGATTGTTCCGGTTAGTCTTCCTCGAAACGCTGGGCAACCTCACCGTTGTGTACTTGTGGAAAGGGTAAACAATGACCTTCCATGGAAAGTAGCTCGAACCTTGGTCAGGACCACTGACATCTCAGGAGTACGTGTGCTGAACCTTTGCGACCGGGAACACATTATAGAAAAAGGCACACTGATTGGTACTTGTGAGGGAGTGGATTGGTTACGTCGGTGCCAATATATTTCGAGTGGGACCCCCAGCAAGGATGCAGAAACGAGAGTGACCACACTTTTGGAAGACTGTCGCAGTGTTCTCTCCCCGAACGAATTGGTCAAGGCGAAGAAGTTGTTACTCAAGTACGCCGATGTATTCTCATCAAACGATGCTGACATAGGAAAGACTGGCTTAGTTCAACACAAAATAAACACAGGAGAAGAATTGCCTATACGTCAGCGGCCAAGAAGATTGCCGGTAGCACGTGAAAAGGAAGTGGAAACCATGATTGAAGGAATGGTGAAGGATGGTGTTATTGAACCTTCCTCTAGTCCATGGTGTTCACCAGTGGTGCTGGTGAAGAAGAAGGATGGCAGCATGCGGTTTTGTGTTGACTACCGCCGTCTGAACGACGTTACGAAGAAGGACAGCTATCCCTTGCCAAGAATTGATGACACGCTGGACATGCTTACAGGAGTAAAGTGGTTTAGCACGCTGGATCTAAAAAGTGGCTAGTGGCAAGTTGATATTGACCCTAAGGACAAGGAGAAAACTGCGTTCTCGACGGGAAAGGGTCTGTGGCAATTTAAAGTAATGCCGTTTGGGTTGTGCAATGCTCCAGCAACGTTTGAAAGGCTGATGGAACTTGTACTTGCCGGGCTAATTGGCGATGCCTGTCTGGTCTACTTGGATGAAATCATCATCGTACGCCGTACGTTTGAGGAACACCTTCAAAACCTGGAACGCGTGCTCATGAAGATTCAGAGTGCCAACCTCAAGTTGAGCCCGAAGAAATGTTCACTATTCCAACGGCAAGTTAACTTTTTGGGGTTTGTAGTATCGGAAGAAGGTATCCGCACAGATCCAGAGAAAATCGCCGCTGTCAAGGATTGGCCAGTTCCAAAAGACAAGACGCAGGTTAGAGCATTTTTGGGTTTGTGCTCCTATTGCCGGCGATTTGTGAAGAACTTTGCAGATATAGCCAAACCTCTGCACAAGCTAACCGAGGAGAAGCGACATTTCTGCTGGGATGAAAGTTGCAATATCGCATTCCAGGAGCTCAAGGACCGTCTGTGCAAAACACCTATTTTGGGATACCCTGATGCAAGCAAAGAATTTATAGTAGACACGGACGCAAGTGATATGGGACTTGGCGGTGTGTTGTCTCAACGGAATGGTGACCAAGAGGTCGTGATAGCGTACTTCAGCAAATCGTTGTCAAAACCGGAAAGGAACTATTGTGTCACAAGACTCGAATTGCTCGCTGTGATAAATTCGTTGCAGCATTTTAGCAAATATCTTCTGGGGCGAAAGTTTCACTTACGTACTGACCATGCTGCACTAAAATGGCTATTGCAGTTTAAAAATCCAGAAGGACAAGTTGCGAGGTGGATTGAACTACTGCAGGAATACGACTTTGAGATCGAACATCGCAGCGGGAAATCTCATGGCAACGCAGATGCATTATCACGAAGACCTTGTCCTGAACATTGCGAACATTGTACTAGGCAAGAGAGTAAGGAAGTGGTATCCGTGAGGATGCTCAGGGCAGACCACCTCAGCAACGAGTGGAAGGACAGCTTTCAACGTGCACAGCAGGAAGATCCGGACATCAGGCCGATCCTGAAATGGATGAAGGCCAGTGCTCCCAAGCCCAAGTGGAGCGACGTCTCAGCGATGAGTTCGACACTAAAAGCTATTGGGCCCAGTGGGACAGCTTGCTGCTTCAGGATGGAGTTCTGTGCCGTAAATGGGAAAATGTTCGGGGAGACAGCTGTCATTCACAAATGGTTGTCCCTAAAGCTAAATACAGATATCCGGTAGGATATTCTACAGCTGTACCATAATGATTATTCAGGAGGCCATCTGGGAGTTAAACGAACTCTACTGAAGATCCGAGAACGGTTTTACTGGGTCCACTGTCGAAACGATGTCGAGGACTGGTGTCGCAAATGTACAAGTTGTGCGGCTGTAAAGGGACCTCAGACTCGTAGTAGAGGTGCATTGAAGTTGTACAATGTTGGTGCACCATGGGAGAGAATAGCCATTGACGTGGCGGGGCCGTTTCCGGAGAGTGAAAGCGGTAACAGGTATTTCATGGTTGTGATGGATTACTTCACTAAGTGGCCAGAAGTCTTCGCCATTCCAAATCAAGAAGCTTCAACAGTTGCTGATAAGCTAGTTCATGAAGTCTTCTGTCGTTTTGGTGTACCTTTAGAGATTCACAGCGATCAAGGAAGGAATTTTGAGTCTCAAATATTCCAGGAAACTTGCCGAGTTATGGGTACTCATAAAACAAGAACGACTTCTTATCACCCGCAATCTGATGGAATGGTAGAACGATTTAATCAGACATTGGAGAGGTACCTAGCAAAAGTTGTAGACAATCGGCAACGAGATTGGGACAAGCACATACAACCGTTTTTGTTGTCATATCGAAGCGCTGTTCACGAAAGTACAGCAGTGACACCAGCTTTCGCAAACTTTGGAAGAGAATTACGGCTGCCTGCAGACCTGATCACCGGGATACCACCTGATGCTCCACGCAGTATAACCGATTATGCAAATGATTTGCGGAACAAAATGAATGACGTTTATGAGCACGTCAGACAATCGGGCCAGCAAATGTCTGAAAAGATGAAAACCCGGTATGACCGCAAAATGAACAACGAAGGGTTCGACGAAGGTTCACTTGTGTGGTTGCACAATCCCGTCCGCAGCAAAGGGAAATCTCCTAAGCTTCAAGCTAAATGGGACGGCCCGTACCGGATTGTGACCAGGATCAACGATGTAACCTACCGGATACAGAAAGGCGCAAGAGGGACTCCTAAGATCGTCCATGTGGATCGCCTAGCGCGTTATTATGGGACCGATAATGCTCGGGACGACCATGTCTTAGGAGGGGGCAGTGTTACGCGCTCAAATCGACAATACACTAGCGCCATCTAGTGTCAGGAACGAGAGCGAGGGGAGCATTGAGAAAATGACATCACAAATCACTCAACCGACAGCGCCTAGTCGAAACTCGAACGCTCGGTACCTTGCGCGTGTTTACTTGAACATTCTGGATATTTCTTTGCTAATTTAAATATATAGGCGCTGCAAGATGCGATCGAGGTAGAGTTGATTTGACGAAACAAGCGAAGCTTCGGAGCGGAATTAAGTGAATTAGTGTGTTTAATTATTAGTGTTTTGAACTTTAGTTTGTGTAAAGTAAATTAAAGTGTTAATTTAGGTAATTTTATCGGCAATTTTTATTGTCACGAACCCTAAGCTCGTAACAATGTATATATATATATATATATATATATATATATATATATATATATATATATATGGATGTGGAGGGCGCGAGAGGTGTGTCAAGATCATGCCAAATGGAAGTCTGTAGTCTCTGCCTACCCCTCTGAGTGACAGGCGTGAATGTTTACGTTTATGTAATTATATGTAATATATGTATATAAATAAGTACTTATTCCAAACAAGATGTATTTATCAGTATACTGGACATAATATGTAGTTGAATATAAATAATAATTTGTGTAATTATAACCAAATTTTGTTTATTTCTTTCTGTATGTGTGCTGCTACAAATTCACCAAATTATATCGCTACATGAATGTATAGAGATTGTGTCCGTTCTTTGTATTATTTTGTAATAGGTAAATTTTAAAAGACTCACCAGCTATAAGATCACGAAGGCGACTAGTACCGACAGGCTTGCTGCTGTTTTTAGCTGTTTTGGGGGCTCTTTTCTTTTGTATCACTGGGGTTTCCTCAACCCAATTGCGGGCGCGAAGTTCTTCGAGTTTTTTGAAGCGCATGTCCACATTTTCAACCTTTAACAGGAGAAATATGATTTATTAAATCACAAATGGTGCCGAAATTTTCCGCAAAAACAAAAATTGTTAATTTTTGATTGTTATTGTGCTGTAACTTTGGTATTATTTTTATAGCGCTGTGTGACCAACGACAGTCCAGTTGATGGTAAGTGGCCCACAGACATCTTCAACTAAGGATCAAAATGCAAGTGTTGTCACCTCTGCGGACTAAGATGTTTTCTACACACACCATACGTAACACAGCAGCATTACGCTGCTATTTTACGCTGGTATTCCGTGAGAGCGTGGTCCTGCGCCAGTCGAGCCGAACCATTCGTGTTACAACGTGTAGCGTGTCAACATGTAAAAAAACTTGTGTCTGAAACTGCATCTTAATCCAATTCCAAATTTATTCCATTAATATAAGTTAAGTTTTTAAGGTTGTTGCTGCATCCAGACACGTATGGATATTGAACTTGGGCTTTGATTGTTATACACTCTAGATTTATTGGTAACTAACGGTGCCTGGCACGCGAAATAAAGCCTCTTTTTAACGAACTTCAATTAAGGAATGACTTCAAATGATACGGGGTAGTGGATATTATTAGGCCGTTTGATGGGAGTGTAAGAATATCCACATACACATATCACAAGATATTCCACTAAAAAGGGTCAAAATTTTACTATTATTAAAAATCAGAAACTCAACAGTCTATCAGTATAATTACTGGCTGTGAATCATACTGCATGGACTGTAGTAGACATTTAGATATAATGTAAGGTTGACGATACAAATATTACAAACATGATAGTAATCTTATTTATATTAATGACATTACTAATAAATCACCATAATATCTCCTGTATAGTTAAAAACTTTCGATAACAATCTGAAGTTGTCGAAGTCAACATTCTTTACAACAGACTTACAGATAAAAAATTACAATATTTACTTACTTCTTATTTCATAACTAAATACAATTTTGTAATAGACGAAAACCAGAAAAGAAGAAAAGGGCATGAAATGAGAGGTCACTTGCTCACCTGTATGAAGACCATGAGCCGGATTTTTAGATAAAACATTATTATAATCACTTGCTTTACTTATTTAGAAAAGTTATAAAAATTTGAAATAAACAAAAAGCTAAAAGGAAGAATGGAGCATGAAATGAGTGATCACGTGCTCACCTGCATGAAGACCATGTCCCAAAAGCCATGGAGGTCGGTGGGCGTGACGAGTCCAGTGGTGGGGTCGGGGCACTCGCAGGCCGCCACCAGCGACCCGAACTGCGCCAACTTCTGCGACACCAGCAGCCGCGCCTGCCCCACAGCGCCCAGCACCATCTCCTACAAGCAAACCATTTGTATACGAGATAGAGCGACGCTGCAGTTATTTTATGGTTATAGCACAAATGGGCCGGCTCGACCCGGGTGAGATCACCCTCTCACTGAATACCAGCTCAATGCTACTACCAATGACCATTTTTACTGGAAACTAGGCATTCCATCGTAACCTCAGGGACGACAATGTATATGCAATGTATATTCTTATCCACTTACCATCAGGTGGACACTGAGTGCTAGTTTGTCAACCTTATCCTAAAGAAAAAACAACAATCTTTACTACATGCTCATATTACCATAGTGGTGCTGTGCTTCTTATAATTATCTGTTGATATATTGATTTCGATGTGAATACCTCCTTAAATTAGCTTGTATAATGGGAGGCAATTACGATAACCGATGATAAAGAAACCGGGAGATACAGCTTGGTGTTATAGTTCACTACGCCACTCAATAGATAAAGGATCAGCAAGAGGCAAAGGAAGAGGTAAGCGCCACCGAGGTTGTTTCGTTAAGTATACATATTCACATGAAACACACGGCCGGGTCCACGACACAGCCATATCCCAATATTTTTATTTATACTGAGTAGTCAATTTATAGCACTGGCTGGTTTTACTCCACATCTAAGCATATGTTATGTGAAGGCACGCGTTAATGCTTTTCAAGTCCAACTATCTCCTGGAGAAATCCCAACAACTTCTCAATGTTGCAAAAGCTTAAAGTAGTTTCTTGCTAACTTGTGAACCATCGCACCTTTGCCTGAGTAAGATCTATTAATGTGGCGTAATTTAGATATAAGGTAACTAAAGGCCGTTCATTTTAACGAATTTACGTTTTTTTTTAAATATTTCTCAAAACTAGAAACTATAAAATATATCCTAGATTCCTTTTGGCATTACTCTATATCTGTTTGAGAAGTTTCATTGCAATTTGTTCAGCAATTCCAAAGATTAGTCGAGACAGACAAAAATTAAAATAATATTATTCATGTCTTAATAGAATGCAAATAAGTTATTCAAATATTACAGACAGATAAGTCAATTTTATTTATAGGTATAAATGTGCAGTAAAAACAGTCTTACCTGTGCAGACTCAGACAAAAGTTCTTGCTGCGAGATCTTGTCCCAAGTTTCACACATTTGTGTAATGCGCTTGACTTCAGAATCTAGTTGTCGTCTAAAGTAATCCACACTCTCCATATTATCGTCGTCCAACAAACCTGACAAAAAAAAAACTTTTTGTAAGTAAAATAAATGATATGGGACCCTTAACTTAGAAAGTAACAACATTCTACCTGGATGGTTAAAGAATGGGATTAGTAATGGCGTCGCCTCTATTTACCTCTCGCTTGCACACTGTTGCTATCTATACTAACACCTGCCGCTAAAGATTACAAAAAAATACTTTGCGATATGCGTTCTTCGTACTTTCTGTAACTTCAGTAGAACTTGTCATTTTTGCTTAAAATATTTACAGGCTATTGAGACATGAGTAACCATTTTTCAAATTTTCGTTTGTCGGTCTGTACAAGCTAATCTTTGGAATGGCTGAACTGATTATAAATAAATAAAAACTGCACAAACTTATAGAGAGTAATACCACAAGTGATCTGGGCTAAATTTTATTTGCAATTTTTAGAGACTTAAAATACAAATATTGATAAGATAAAGTAAATGGTAGTAAAAGTAAATATGTGCTTTCATGCACAAAAATGTACATATGATTTAATGCCATAGGGCATCCTCTCCCAGTCAACCATTAGGCTAAACAGAGATAGACATTATGGAGGCGGTGCAGCAATAATCAAATAGAGAGGATAAAAGAAATAATTATATAATTAACAATAGATACATATTATATACACACATACACACACACATATATTATTATATATATATATATATATATAATATATATACATATATATATATATATATATATATATATATATATATATATATATATATATATATATACATACATACATACACTATATACACATAAATACATAAGTATATATCTATATATATACATACACAATAGGTTAGAACAAATATGAAATATATACGAAAAAGAGAGCTGAGTTAATTCAAACTTGCAACGATTTAATCATATACTTACGGACTTGATTTTTAAAGACGAATTTGTTAGGAGCTTTTTTAATAATTTTTTTCAGACAAGAGGAATGTCGTTCCAGAGTCTGATGGCCATGAGTACGAAAGAGTGAGATAAATAACCAGTATGGTGTAAAGGAGTGAGCAACTTAAGATTGGTTGAGGAACAGAGAGAAAAATTATGAGAATCTCCCAGGTATTGAAATTTAGATTTCACATACTCGGGAGCACATGGATCGTTCAAAATTGAGAAAAGGGTGCAGATTATTCTAACATATCTGCGCTGACGAATAAGCAGCCAGTTTAACTGTGTACGAAAGGAAGATACATGGTCGTATTTACGAAGACCATAAATGTATCTGATGCAGTTGTTAAGCAGACGATCCAATGTATTAGGTCTGAGCAACACACATCGACATAATCAATAATCGGTACAATAAGTGATTGGATAAATAAAATCTTGGTATTGGTGGGAAGAAAGTTTTTAAATCGATATAGAGATCGCAAAGTTCTAGTAGTTTTGCGACTCAACTCCTGTATATGTTTGTTCCATGTTAAGCAAACATCGATGTACAGACCAAGGTTCTTTACGTTAGTAGAGAATGGTATGACATTATTATTAAACATAATTGATGGTAGGGTGGGAATATCCAGTTTAGATAATAATCTTGAGCTTCCTAAGATTATCGTTTGGCATTTAGACGGGTTCACGTTTATGCCATACACAGTAGACCATTCTGAGATATATTTCAAATCATCATTTAACAGTGAAATAGCACTTAGGATATTTGAAGGCTCCACTTGCGCATATAACTGCAGATCATCAGCATACAAATGGTAAGAGCTCTTGAGATTTAGTGTGATGAGATTTATAAAAATGGAAAACAGAAGAGAGATAATACCACCTTGAGGGATGCCAAATGACACATCACGCCAGTCAGATAGTATATGACCAGTACATACAGCCTGTTGGCGCCCTCGAAGATATGTTGAGAACCATTCCTGAGCTGAAGACGAGATATTCAAATGAGAAAGAAGAGCTAACAAGATACCATGATCGACAGAATTAAATGCATTAGAAAAATCAATTAGGATGGGAACAGTCAGTTTTGATTTTTCCATCCCCTCACGAATATCTTCCGTAACCTTGAGTAGAGCAGTAGTAGTAGAATGACCCGGGCGGAAACCAGACTGATAAGGGGAAAGAATATTCTTTGAGAAAAAAAAAGCAGAAATCTGATTATGAGCAACAGCTTCCAGAACCTTGGAAAGAAAAGGCAGAATAGAAATTGGTCTGAAATTAGATAAAGTGCTGTATTCAGTAGCTTTCGGGATGGGAATAATAAAGGCTTTACGCCAGAGAGTTGGAAAAGCACCATTCATCAACGAAAAGTTAATTATATGAGTTATCACGGGTAAAACAGAATCCAGCATGTGCAAAACCATTACCCTACTCACGTCATCACATCCAACATCTTTCGATTTAATAAAGGAAAGTGCTTTGCGTACCTCGTCTTCGTCTACAGGAGTAAAAGTGAAGGTTTCATGGGAATAAGGAGGCATGGAAGATATAAAAGAGATAGCATTAGCTCTAGAATCATCAGAAACTATTTGAGAAAACAGAAAATGATGATTAAAATCGTCAGGAGAAAAGGTGACGCTATTATAGTCAAATTGCGATTTTCCATATCCAAGCGTATTCAGAAACTTCCATATATCAGCCGAAGATGAATTAAGTAGTTGTTCGTAGATATATCAACGTTTAGCAACTCTCACCATCTGATTGCATCGATTTCTTGCAGCTTTATATGCTTGCCACTTTACCTCAGTGCAATTCTTCCTGTAATAATTATCTTAAGTGTTGTAAATGCCACATTAATAGATTCCACCCAGGTGAAGCCAGAGTGGGTCACTAGTTATAAATGTTATTTTAAAATTAATATACCTAATTATGTATACAAATCCTTTCAAATATTATTATTTTCCCATTAATGTAATAATATTGTAACAATATACTGTTATTAGTGGGTTTTCGCTATTAATACTGTGCATGTTGGTGATAGGAGCTCGATGAATTGCCATTTCTAATCCCATTATTTACCCTTGCGGACTGTACCTATATTTAGACTTTTCAGGAAGGGTCTCCTTATGATTCAGAGCCCATTAGGAATAGCTTTGTTACTAACTGCAGATATAATACTAACTGTATGGCAAAAATAAATTAAAAATGTAACTATATAGTGGTGGTGTAAAAATATCCACTAGCCCATATTGTGCCATGGATGTTGTAAAGAGCACCAGGGGGAAACAAACCAGGAGATTTCCCAATAACAACCAGTAAGTAAAAACTATGGTTGCCAAACCGCCTGTCAAACATGGCAACTGCGGCAAATATTCCCCATTTGAGACAATCTGTTGTTCAGCAGTGGACTTTGATAGGCTATAGTGAATCAATAAAATTCAATATGAAAAGAATGATACATATATAGGATACGGGTATAGCAATGTTTTTTTTTTGTGCGAGTATCAATGTGTCTAGGGAAGGAGACCAGTATCACTGCTAAGCCCTATGTCTTCAATGAATAGAAGGAGTTGCTTAGCCATGAGTAATTTCACCTCTTCTGGGTGGAATACATAGTTTCCCAGATAAGTGATACTTTTGCGCATTAAGGGTCCACAATCAGTTAGGATGTGCAGAGGCGTTTCTTCCGTTATGTAACAGAACCGACACATCCTTGAGTTAACTTAATCCCAGGATGGACATGTGCTTTTTAAGACAACAGTGTCCAGTTAGGGCTCTTGTCAGAATACGCAATTTATTTTTACTTAATCTCGGGGCTGATGAAGCAAATTTACAATCAAAAGCATGGATTAATGTTTTAGAATGTTTTAAGCCTGGTGTGTCAGACCAGATCTTAAGAGATTTATTATGATAAAGAGTTTCAAGGGTCAATCGGGCTAAGCTTCTTGGGATTCCACAAAATGGACCAAGTCAAAATTGTGTACTATTGTGATTGCTGATATGGCTATAGTTCACTGCTAAGCCCTATGTCTTCAATGAATAGAAGGAGTTGCTTAGCCATGAGTAATTTCACCTCTTCTGGGTGGAATACATAGTTTCTAAGTGTAATTGTAAATAGTCTAAGTGCTACTTTAAGTTTAAGTTTTAGACTTACTAATACTTTAAGTTTTAGAATGTATTAATCCTGGTGTGTCATACCAGATCTTAAGAGATTTATTGTGATAAAGAGTTTCAAGGGTCAATCGGGCTAGGCTTCTTGGGATTCTACAAAATGGATCAGGTCAAAATTGAGTGATTACTCTATGAGCCGTCCCATGCAAGTTTGTCAGCAAATTCGTTGCTTACTATACCCGCGTGACCCAGAACCCATCTTAAGATGACCCTGTATGTATAGCAATGTTTATTTTCATTTTAAATACCTTTTCCTATTATACAATTGGTCAAATATAAAAATGAACAAATATGGTTTATGTAATAGCATTCAATGTTTCACACTGCTTTCTGCATGAAGTGAATATTTTAAAATATGTCTGTACAAGATAGTTGTAAGAAAATATAATTTGTAAATAAGTTCAATAATTAATATGTATTAGTAAATGGTGTGTGTGTAAACATAGGTTAATATAGCCTTCTATTAAAATCATACCTTCTTCCATTTTCTTTTTCATTTCCTTTCTGGCATTATCCTTCCCTCGAGAAAGTGTGACATAAGGACTTATTTTTTTAAGTTCTGCAATTTGTTCTGGAGTCATGGGGGTATTTGTTAAAGGCTTTAGAGGTGTTTGTTGCGAGTTGTTGTGAGTCTCTCCTCCGAACTTGATTCACTTTTTGGTATAGGATTTTTGGGTGTGTTGTTTTTTATATCCAGACCGTTTGGATTTTCTTGGAGTTTTATTTTTACTTTTAGGAAATATTTTTGTAGATAATGACTCCATGTCACTATTTGAGGTGCTATTGTGTAATATTTTTTTCTGAATTGAGGTTTTAGGATATTCCTCTTTAACAGATTTATCAATCACTTTTGAAGCCGTAGTGGCTGATTTAGTTGATGAGCCATTTGATATCTCTAAGTTTAATAAAGCTTTCGTTTGGCTAACATCCGGCACTACTGGGTCAAACGTTATATCAATCTTTTTTTTCTTATTTTGTACCCGTGCCAAAGTAGGAAGTTTTGTTATGGTTGTTAGCTCCGGAGGTTTAAATGATGCATTACTTGGTGCAAATGAATGTAAATGTTTGGCTGATTTTGAGCCCTTGGAATTTTTTTGTGTAATTTGACTATTAGTTTTAATAGACTGAGACCTAGTAACTCTTCCTGATGTACTAGGCATTGGTCTAGGTGGAGGTGGTGGAACATATTTTAATGGAGGGTGCACAATGCAAGCAACAAACGGTTTCTTCTTGTGTGCAACAGCTTCTTTCTTTTTTCTTTTTCTTCTTTCCATTTCTCCAACGACATTCTTCTGTGTTCCACCTCTTTCTGACTCTCAGATATTGGGTCAGGCACTTCACATTTAGATAAGTTTCGGATACTGTCAAAAGCAGACAGTCTACTACTTTTTCGATGTTTAATATTCCTTTCTAAGCGCTTTTGAACCTGTAAGATCATGAATATCGATTATATTATTACGTAAATTGTAGCATATAATAATAATAATAATTACCCTTTCCAGTTTTTAAAAGAATTTACTAACATAACGCATGCACGATTTAAATTAGCAAATTAATGCTAAAAAGCTATAATACGATTATTTAAAGCATTGACAGTACCCCGCCAGCTATGCTCAGAATTTGTGTAGGTCTAGGTTTGTGCATATGCTTCTTCTCATTATTCTTCAATAATGAAACCAAATCAAAACTCTTATCTAAAAAACAAATACAAAAAAACTGTTACTACAAACTACAAACAAATAACATTGACAACTGTGTATATCTCAAAGCATATGAGAAAAACAAAAACTACAAAGAAAGTTAAAAATTTACCCATGGCTGAATCCTGAAATGAGAAAGAGATTTCGAATATTTATATTAACTAAACGGACTAAACAACACACATATACCTCAAACTTAACTGACACAAAGCGTTTCAAATTTCAAACATTTTAAAAAATATACACAGACAAAACACAACGTGATAAAGCCATTTATACACAGAACCGTAGACAGAGAATGCTAGGATTCTCTGTCTACGCACAGAACACGCAGAACACTATTATTACTCCTAGCAATTAAACGTCTATGGGAAAAGCTAGGGTTGTATACGGTGTCACTATAAATGCACACTACAACATTTGTGTTTGTGTTCATCGCATTTACGCATACCATCAAATTGTACGTGGCGATACGCTGATAGCGCTGGCTGAGCGTAAGCGTAAGCAACGTAAGGCGTGGACTATTTCGATATTTTTTATCGATAAACAAATCACCATAGTCGCAAAGTTTTTATTTGATTATAAGTAATACATAGATAAATAATACCAGGGTGTTATTTGAAATTCTTTTTTTAAAGTATTTAAAAATGATCGGAAAAAAGCTTATGAATTATTGAACTATGCAGGATAAAATTTAAAATGTTTAACAAATCGAAATAGGAGGTTTAGTTAAATTTTTTTAAAAATCAGATTTATGAAAAGAAAAATCCTATCAGTTTATCATCTGAGGTGGTGTTAATCAAGGTTTTTTTTTTATAGAAGAAGGGGCAAACGAGCATGTGGCTCACCTGATGTTAAGTGACTACCGCCGCCCATGATCAACCGCAACACCAGGAGAATTGCGGGTGTTGCCGGCCCTTTAGAAAGGAGTAAGCTCTTTTCTTGAAGGTCCCCAGGTCGTATCGGTCCGGAAAAATCGCCGGTGGTAAACTATTCCACAGAGAGGTTGTACGTGGAAAAAAACTCTTGTGAAACGTACAGTGGTGGACCGCCAAGCATCCAGATGGTGTGGATGGTATCGGGACGTTTGACGTGTAGTGCGTTCACGAAATTTGGCGGCTGGGATTAATCCGAACAATTCCTCAGAGCACTCCCCGTGATAGATGCGATAAAATACGCAAAGAGATGCAACATCTCTTCGCAGCGCCAGTGAATCGAGCCGATCGGAAAGCACTCGGTCGTCGACGATTCGAGCCGCTCTGCGCTGGATGCGGTCAAGTGGAAGAAGCTGGTACTGGGGAGCTCAGCCCAGAGATGGGAACAGTATTCCATGTGCGGCCGAACCTGCCCTAGTTGCAGGCGGTGTGCCGGCATGAAATACTGTCCCGCTCTGCTGAGCACGCCAAGCTTTTTAGAGGCCAATTTGGCCTTCCCTTCCAAGTGACCACGAAACTGCACGTCACTCGATATGTCGATGCCGAGGATTCCGATACTGGCTGAGGCAACAAGGGGAGTGCCTTGAAACTGAGGGGATACGACAAAGGGGTTCTTTTTAGCGGTTAACGCGCAAAGTTGTGTCTTCTGGGGGTTAAACTGGACTAGATTTAGTCGCCCCCAATCCGAGACTCTGTCCAGCAGAGACTCGACTTCAGATACAAGTTTGTCCCGGCACTCGGAGACGTTTTCCCGAGAAATGTTGGCTCGGCCGGTGTAAAGAGCATCACCAGTGCTGTCATCTGCATAGCAATGAATGTTACGGGTATGCAACATGTCATTGATATGCAGAAGAAACAGCGTTGGCGATAGCACGCAGCCCTGTGGAACACCAGCATTAATAGGCTTGCAATCGGAGCTTGCACCGTCTACAACGACCTTGATGCTCCGATCTGCAAGAAAGCTGGTGATCCAATCGCACAATTTCTCGGGAAGCCCATAGGAAGGAAGCTTCGAAAGAAGCGCTTTGTGCCAAACCCGATCGAAGGCCTTCGCAATGTCCAAACTAACGGCCAATGCCTCCTCCTTGAACTCTACTGCCTCCGCCCATCTGTGAGTTAGGTAGACCAGAAGATCACCAGCTGACCTACCACGGCGAAAACCGTATTGGCGGTCACTAATCAGCTGGTGATCTTCAAGGTACCTCATGAGCTGGCAGTTTACAATGGACTCCATTGTTTTGGAGAACAAGGAGGTGATGGCGATTGGCCGGTAGTTGGACGGGTCAGAGCGGTCGCCTTTTTTAGGGATCGGGTGGACGTAAGCCGTCTTCCATGATTTTGGGACTACGCCTAGGGAGTAGGAGTACCGGAAAAGACGCGTTAAAACCGGTGCCAACTCTGGAGCACACGTCCTCAGCACAATTGGGGGGATTCCGTCAGGCCCACTCGACTTGTGGATGTCCAGGGAGAGGAGTGCTTTGCGAACCGAGCGCTGTGTGAAGTGCACTTCCGGCATGGAGCACTCACACCGCGGGACGGTCGGCGGAGTACTCCCCCGTCATCGAGAGTCGAGTTAGACGCAAAGAAAGAGCCTAGAAGATCGGCTTTCTCCTTTGCGGTATGGGCCAGTGAGTCGTCCTCCCTGTGCAGAGATGGAAGAGATGGCTGACAGAAATTCCCCTGAACAGCCTTGGCGAGAGACCAGAATGCACGGGTTCCAGAAGGAAGGCGAACTAGTTTCTCGCCAATTCTGCCTATGTGCTCTGACTTTGCCTTGGCAATGACTCTTTTGAAGGACCTAGAGGCGGAATTATACTTATTTTTTAGAGCGCTGGTGTTTACATCCCGGGACGCTGATGCATCAGCCCAGGCTTGGTAGCACTCCTGCTTATAGCATGATGCTATTTTACAGGAGCGACCAAACCATGGCTGAGACTTGCCTCCAATGGGCACCACAGAGGAAGGAATAAAAAGTTCCATATCCTGAAGTACCACATCATCAGTTTTTGTTTTTATTATAAGGCTTCAATCACAAAACCGCTATTTATAAAAAGTTGTTGATTTTGAAGAGTAATTAAATGAACTATCTAGAAAATATTTAATAAATTAGGAAAATAAAAAAGTTTTACACTATATCACAGTTGAACAAAGTGAACTTTAAACAGACAGCTGCTTAAAAATAAAATGTGACATCTACTTAGGGCGAAGTATTCCTCAGAAAGAAGTTTTGCTAAACGAATGTACAATTGATGGCCGACTTGGCTACACAAAAAAAGCTCAAATTTTATAATTAAGCTGTTTCAAAATTTAGACTAGAGAGTAACCCTGACAAGAAATTGTATTGTATATTAGTGATAGATGAAATGAAAATAAAACAATTGACGGAGTACTATGCAAGTTCTAAAAGACATTTTGGTTATATACATAATGCCTTTGGCTGCTAACATGGTATTCCGTCAATTGCTTAATTTCCATTTCATCCATGACAAAGGTACAATAAATTACTCTCCGCTCTCAATTTTAATGCCGTCAGCGCTTCTTGAGTAAACCCTGGTCGGCGATCGATGGTAGTGTATCACTTAGTCAATGTCCGTGGTACAGGCAAACATGTTCCAAAAGTTTTACGTACATAGCGATAGGCTTTTGGTGAGTAATAGTTAAATGTCAGGGCAAAGTATTTCTTGCAAACTTGTGAAACCTGTTTATGCTATTGTTTTTAAGCAATTGCATAGCTTCTATCGCGGGCCTTGAGCGCGGGGACCGAATCCAGAAATTCCGTAACGAAAAAAAACCTCACGCTCCCCACTCCGACGGGCACGGAGGTGTGGCGTTGAAAGCCGTGCATCGTCTAACGTCGTTTTAGTTCGGCAGAGTTCGGCACTCGGCAGACGTCGGCACGGTGTTTGTGTGCGTGTACACTAGCTGCTAACTCAATGATAAAAATTCCTGAATAACCTACATGTATTGTAAGATATTAAAAATATTTTAAACAATATTAACTTCTCATTTATTCAATAAGAGAAAAAAAATTGTTTTCTTATCGGTCACCGCGCTCAAAAAGTGTAACTTGATTTAATATCAAAGACTTAAAACTCAAAGACTTTAATATCAAAAACTCAAAATAACTGCATAAATAAAATAAATAAATAATTACAATTGCATAAGTTGATAAAAAATGCTATGCAATAGCTTTAAAGCGGCAGTCACCGAGTGAGTATTTTTTTATGTCAAGGCGTTTTTTCAGTTTAATTTTCCTTGGCCTAAGTGATGGCTTGTACTCGCAGTGAGAGTAGGACTATGTAATATATTGTTACCAATGGATTTGAAACCATCGACACCTATATAATATATTATTACATATTACACCTATATATATGATTATAAGATTAATAAATTGTAAAACCATAGAGTAACATATTATATAAGAATAATAAAATTTGTGCGTAATCGTAACATCGTTATAAACTATAAAAGGTACTGCTGTGTCTTAGTGGGGGTTCAGTTGTGAGTCTCCTGCCTACAAGTTAGTTACTCTGCTCAAATCTGTGCTCATTTACATTAAGCAAGGAATAATACATAATTACTGTGATTCGTTTGATCGAGTGAATAAAAAGTGCTACTGTGTAATCTGTTTTACTTCATACCTACTAATTAAAACTTCAGAAGTGGGATCGTATTTACTATGTCCGGACCGTATATCGGAGGGCTAGGAGAACATAAGCGAAGATACGAAGACACTGCAAGCTCGGAAGAAGATAAAGACATTTCTTTTTCTGAAAAACAAATTTCTATGCTTGCGAAAAGGCGTCGTGTGTCTCCGATAGATGCGGAAATCATATCCAAATTCTGCCCAGACGATCAAACCAGCAACGTTACTGGATGGCTTCATAAAATTGACTAGTTAGGTGACATATTTGGGTGGAATAACAAAGATCGCCAATTTATAATGCAATTACGCCTTGCAGGACCTGCTCGGGAGTAGTACGATGACCTTGACGATTATACCCTTACTTGGGACGGGTGGAAGGAAGCACTTGAAACTGCTTTTCCTCGATCTACCGACTACGTAGACAGGCTAGAAATAATGCTGGCAAGATCAAAAAGCGACGATGAAACGATGACAAAATATTATCATGAAAAGTTATCACTCCTCAAAAAATACAACATTAATGGTGAACATG